TCCACACGCGATAAAGCCTGATAGGGGAAGCCTGCTAATCGTCTGTTAACCATGTTCATGGACTTCCTGATCTGGGTTATAATCAAGGCTGCGCTGATGGTGGTGTATAAAATAATAGGCAAACTATCTACAAAACTATGCAGCCCTTCGTAAGGGCTTGCTCCGGCACAGGTTTGCGAAAGACTGTCCTTAGAGTAGACGTTACTAAGGCTGTTGCCTGGCTATTGCATGGCCGTGGGGACTTGAGCAAGGCTTTGGTCCCCTGGCTCCACCTTTACTGTGTGGTCTTCATTCTCTGGGTCGGCATGGTAAGTCACAGACCCAGGCTTCCACTGTCAGGGTGCAGGACAGTCGGAAAGGGACTCTGGAGAGCCTTTAGGTCTCCTTATCTTTGTCAGCTCACACCTCTGCCTCTGAATCAGTCCCTCGGGGCAGGAAATTGTTATGGCGCGGATTGAGCCGTTGGCTGTAGATTCAATGCCGTTTCCAGGCTGGGAGAGGGAGAGTGAGGTTCCTGGAAGAAAACCAGTTATGTAAGAAAATTAACCTTCGTTCCAGCCCTCTTCTGCAGACGTACCACTGCAACCAGTTTCTCGTGTTTACAATTATATAAGTGAAAATCAACACTGCTATCATTTTATATACAGATGATAGTGTCTTATGTTGTTTTTTTCTTGCTTTTTAATCATTGATCAATATATTTGAGAAACCTTGACAGAGTTACCCCTATCCATTTGAGTTACTACTGCACAGAAGATCTCACCAAAAGTTATTTAAAATTTTAAGTAACAATATATTTTATAAGAGATGACATGAACATAATATATGAATTACCTTTTTTCATGGTTCCATAATAGGGCTAAAATATGTTATACCAGCATTCAACTGGTGGCCATTTAAGTTTGCTGCTAGTTTTTTGTAGACTTTTCTGGATCAAAGGGCGCGCGTGTGTGTGTGTGTATGTGTATGTCTAGTCTCTGAAAAATTTTGTGAATTTGGTACTATATATAATAATCTTCATTTGCATGAGAATCGACACTCTTGGAATGAGCTGAGTCATAGGACTAACAAGTGCTTGATCCGGACTAGAACTGAAATCTTCTGTGTCTGGTGTTCTTTCAGTTAACTGAAACTGAAAACTGTTTCATTAATTTTACTTTATTTTTTCTTATACCTTAATACTTGGAACCAATTTAATGGTCTACTTTGCAGAAAGTCAGGTTATATCTGTCCAGCTTTTTCAGTGGGAATTAATGAAATAGCTACCTAACCTCTAATGTAATTGAAACTCTTCGTTGTGTGTCAGTAACATTAACTTACATTATGCCAGGCCAAAAAAAAGTTTTGTAGCTTAGAGATTTTAACACATTTTAGTCTTCAGCTGTTTATCAACCTGATGCATAGTAAATAATTGCTCAGCCACCAAAGTTGTAGTATGTGACAATCTGCAAAAATTTTGCTGAGCAAGCCACGGACGGTTTTACATTAAAAGGTAACTCATGAAGTAGCTTCTACTCATTAAAGCTTGGAACAGTTCAAATGATGATGGGGGTGAGCATGTTTTTGAGGCTGATTCATTATGATTTACCAAAAATATCTTACTAAAGAGTGCCATCTACTTCTGGTTCTTTTAGTTGGCCACTTTCATTAACAGTGATATTTTGTTCTTCATTTTCCAAATTGGTATCAGTGAATTTATACCAACATTATATAAGATATGCTTAAAGGATTTTATTTTTCAAATGCAAGTTATATTTGAGTACATATGTGGGAAATATTTTCAACTAGTTAAAATACTATTTAAATACAATTTTAAGTATGTTAGAACATGTCACTTTTAATCAGGCTTTCTTAAAAAAATAGTTTTAGGGACAGACTGGAACTTGCTCTTTTAGACATTTTGTACCCCAACATCTAGGTAAACAGGGGGTAGACTATAGATTTCACCATGGATATTTTGGCTCTCTTTGCATTTAAGACAAGAATAAATGTGGACAGGTTTACTTTCTGTGATTTAGTTATCTCTCTTTTCAGAAACTATTCTAAAATACCACTTTAAATTGAGGTATGAGAAATAATGGGCATTGGAAAAGATTTTGAATTGTAAAAGTGACCCTGGTCTTAGCTGAGCCAGGTTTGTTAATAAGCAGTTTTACAGACCCATCCGTTGAATCCCTCTCTCCTGTCCTCATTGCCCCCACTGCATTTTGCTGCTTTTGTTAGAGCGCTCGTTAGAGTCTACAATGCATTGAGCGTGTATTTGTATTTGCTTGTTTCTCTTTTTTTTTTTTTTACTATCATGTGAGCCTGGAGGGCTAGATCTATTTGTTTTTCGTCTTTCTATTTTAGATAAGGCCTGGCACATAATTGATATAAATGTTGAATTCAACTGATCTTGGCAAAATAATATACTGTGAAAATTGACAGGTTACTCTATTTCATAATCTTAGCCCTGATAAAGCTATTTCTTAGATTTTCATATTACTTCATAGACTCACTTTTTACATAAAAGGATCCCATGGACTTGTTAATTTTGTTTACAGAGAATTGTTTTGTACAGTCTGAGGGTAATTATTAACAGTTTACCATTTGTTTCTAAGCTGTTTTTTATACATAAGATAATCTCTCCATTTTATATTTTGATGATTTTGAACTTTTAGGTTTTGATATTGTTAAAAATGTGCAGAATATTTTGTAATCGATATTGTGGCTTAATTTGAATCTGGGTGCCTTTCCTTACAAGGAACTGTGCATTGTTGGTAACTGGCAAAATGGGATGTCCGCCTTGGATATCAGGCTTTACTTTTCTAGCAACACAAGCCTTTGTAGACTGTGTTTTTGTTTTAGTCCTCACACAAGGATACGTTTATTGATTTGAGAGAGAGGAAGAGAAAGTGAGACAAAGTTAGAGAGAGAGAGAGAAACATTGGTCAGTTGCCTCCAACATGAGCCCCAACTGGGAACAGAGCCCACAGCCTAGGCATGTGCCCTGACCAGGAATCGAAACCCACAGCCTTTTGGTGTACGGGACACCCTCCAACCAATAGAGCCACACAGCCAGGGCTAGACTGCGTTTTAATTCTAACAAAAATGGAGGAAGAGCACTCTTATTCATTTATTTTTGTTTTCCTTTTTACCTCCCTTTATATCCCTTTATTCTCCCCCATCTATATAACATGATCATGAAAATTTCCCCTACATGCATTTAGAACTGCATCAAACAGTGTCATAATTTTTTGTTTGTTTTCAATTACAGTTGACATTCAGTATTATATTTTGTATTAGTTTCAGGCATATAGCATAGTGGTTAGACAGTCATGTATTTTACCTTACCTTAAAATTTCTAGTACCTACCTGGCCCCATATGTAGTTATTACAATATTATTGACTCTTTTCCCTATGTTATACCTTACATCCCTGTGACTATTTTGTAACTACTAATCAGTCCTTCTCCATCCCTTCACCTTTTTCACCGAGTCCTCCAACCCCCCCCACCCCTCTGGTAACTATATGTCAGCACTCTCATTTATTAAAGGCGTCCTGTGTCTAATATTGTGATAAGCACTGTATATATTTATGAAATCATTAATTGCTCCGTAATCTATGTCAGAGGTCATATAATCCCCACCTACAAAAGAGAAAGCAGAAGCACAAAAGGAGTATCTTTTTTTGGCCACTTGACTTCAGTTTTGTTTCTGAGACATAGCAAAGAAAAAAGTTCACATATAGATTAGTGGAAAATACATTGGGACTTTTATTTCTGCCAATATGGTCAATTGGAATCCTTTACAATACCCTACCCGTTATTAAATGCCTGGAAATTTGGAGGTAGAGATTGTAAACTCTCTTTTAAATGTATAGTAAAATTTGCAAAAAGGCAAGAGGATTTCCTAAGTGCCGTAAGATGGAGAAGTAGCTCAGAAGAATCATTTGTTTCTTCTGAAGCTGCTGGGGCCTACGGTCTCTGCTGATCTGTGTGGTGTAGTCACTCTTGTTTTACCAGCTACGTGGGACCCGGAGGCAAGGCTGTGGTTGGTCAGGGCAGGACTCCAGCCTCAGACATCTCTGCATGCACTCTCCTCACCTAGAATAAAAACCAAAGTTTAATATTAACCGTTAGTTTTAAGATGTTAGGTAAAGGATGTTATAAAAGAATGGAAGAGGGAAGTGAGGCTAAGAAACCAAACATTTCCAGGAAAATTAGAAATTAGAGAAGTAACAACAACAAATAAAGCAGTCGGTTGACTAAGGAAATTTCAAGGAACATCAGCAGGAAACTCAGAGCAATCAGTCGTGCTTGATCCCAACACCGGTATCTAATACCAGCTCAGCGACGTCAGGTGCTGGGGTGGAAGCAGGGAGGAGCTTAGGGAGGCCGCAGAGGGGGAGCCCCGCTGGAGGGGCAGCCAGTCCTGCTTGAATGTCTTAGTCTTTGGCGAGTTTCAGTTGATCTTGTACCACCTTCACAATTTTTACAGTGTTCACACATTATCTGGATTATTAGTTACTTAATATTTTCCAATCAACTTATGATGTTATGCTTATGATTTATTTTTAAAAGAAACCTTGTATATCACCATAAAATTTGGAAACCCGTAATACCTGCCATAAACAGAACGCATCTTAAACACTAAAAAAAGGGAACAGAGTTATGCCTGAGGCCTGTGATAGTGTGAGGTCTCCCTTCTGCCATCCGAAAGGAAAAACAAGCCCTCGGTACAATCCTCATTTGTGCTGTCCTCAGCACCCTCCTCGTACAAGGAAATGGGGAGGAGGCAGAAAGGAATCGAGTGCACTGTGTGCGCTGGGTCTGGCCGTGTCTGCGCCACGAGCAAGCGCTCCGGCGCCAGCAGCCTCCCTCGCTGGGTGTGGAATGATGTGAGCAGGGAAGTGGGATCGTGTCTGAGTGCCTGTTTTTTACCATTTAATATTTGGAAGGTGTTGCCCTCAGCTTCCTGTATTCACATGTTCTTTTTTTTTTTTTTTTTTTCTATTTGAAGCTCTTTTAAGAGCCTGTGCTGATGGAGGTGCCAACCGCTTATATGATGTTACCGGCGGGGAGAGGGAGAGGTAAGCTGTCCCCCAGCCAGGTCCGCAGCACCACGACTTCTGTTCTGCAGTTTATTTTGCTTTCCTCCAGCAAGTGGTGGCTGTTCATCTTCCTTCACAATCAACAGAGACGGGTGCTTCGCCATGGTGTGGGGTTCCTTTGCATGGCATCTATTAGTAAACCTAGGCCAATCACATTCTTATTTAAAAAAAAAACATTCTGCTCCTTCAAAATCTTCAGTAAGTAGCATTATCAAATACCAATATCTGTGAAGCTTTCAAACATTAACTAAAATAAAACTTCTTATGGCAATTGGAGTTGTTATGCAATTTTAAATGAATGAAAACTGGTCTGTGCAAACAAAATACATGTTCTAGTGTTCTAGTGTTCTAGTGTTGTAGAAAGTGTGAGATTTTTATATTGTGTTGAGTGAAGCTCAGTACAGTGTACTCTTCGTTATCTCTGAGTTATACACACACATATTTTAGGAGATGAATGATTTATTTCTTAATGATTTGTTATCTGTGCTGTCTGGCTCTCCTGGTCTTTGCATGGTGAGTTATTTTTAGAAGACTACATTGATGAAAGCAAAATTTAAATCCAGCTCATTTGGCAACATGTTTACAGTTCAACCTCTTGGCAAACACAAGAATTTATCGTCTATATAAGCATACTAGCTGTGAAATTTAGTTTCATTTCTATCGTATGTTATTAAATGTAGGGAAATGTTTAAAGTTTGAGAAATCACTTCTGTGCTGCAAAAAATAAATAAAAATATTATGATGCAATGTACCATGAGGGCAAATTAAATATATGCGTTTTGGACTGATGTAAAATCCGTGTTGATGGCATCACATTTTTTAAAGGTAGGTTTCTGAAACTGGAGCTGCTTTTTGAAAGCAGCTGGCTGCGTAGAGGAGGAAGGCCTGTTCCCCTCGAGAGTGGGCCATGCTAATGTCTAGGGACTGAGCGCTTTATCAAAGAATGCGGCCATGGTGACAGCCTAGGGAACGGTTTAAATTTGTAACTTTTTTTTTGTGCCTCCTTAGTTTTTAACTGAATGGATTCCTCTGACTGTATTCAGTAAGACCTGACATGGACAGCGTGTGAGAAAACACTCAAGTGTGTGTTATGGAAAGTGCCTCGGCCAGGCACCTCCAGGGCGGGCGCAGGGCCCGTGAGGCCGAGAGGATGGGCTGGCTGGCGTCCGTCCCTGGCGGAAGCGGGCTTGCGGGCAGGTGGTCTAGGACTGAGGACTGTTCCCTGGTGGCAGGTGTAGCTCATGAACATAATTATATAAACAAGAGCTGTGGAGGGAGGTTACACAGTGCCTCCCAACTCCTCCTTGATCGTAAGGACCATCTAGAGGGCTTGTGAAAAAAATGCTTCTGTGCTGATTTTATTGGACTGGGCTGGGCATGAATAAGAAAGATAACACACAACACTAATTCACATGTAAAAGCAAAGCAGCTTACCAGATTGGGGAAGTGACAACCACTGTTTTTGCCAAATTTCAAAATAATCATTTCCAATATTTAACACATTGATAAGTAATCTTATGGAAGTCTTCCAAGAAGATTTATCTAATAACCATTTATTCAGGTATAAAGATGTTCAATAAGAAAATATACTTGAGTTGATTTTCTACTTGTAATAATGTAGTTGCCATGATTCCTCCTCTGATACTTAGGGACGTGGCCGACCTGAATAAGGGCTGAGTTTCTGAGTCTCTGACAGGGAATTGAGTGAAGCTAACCACCCCACGTGGGAATGAAACCTTTGCAAGAAATCTTATTAAATCCAAACCCTCACTTGAGAAACTAATTGGATACAGGTGACTAAACATGATTCCTATTAACTGTACTTTTAACAGAAAGGCTTCACAATGAAAAGGGAAGACAATATTCATGAGTTTTAAAAAGCCAAGTATAGTTTGTAGACCCCTGCTTTGCTAGTTCTTACTGGTTTATTTATTGTATCCATATCTGCAGTGTAATACTTATAATTATGCAATAAAATGTGGATGTTTCCAAAATCATCTCCAGTTAAAGACAAAGTGAGATACTCACATTTGGAACAGAAGGAGGACTGATTTAGAAGTAACAGAGGGACAGAGCTGAGGCCAAAATCGGTGCTGGCCTTGGGTCTGACCCTGCTGCTGCGCCAATGACCCTGCGCACCCCTGTCATACATGTGTGTCTCTTCGTTTCTACACGGACAATGGCCTCTCCTCATCAGGTGGTCCTTTTTACATTAAGTCCTAAATGTTGCTTTCTTATTATGAAAACCATATTATGATTTGAATATGTTAGTGAGTTGGGAGAAAATAAAAATTATCTGTTACTTCTTACTAAGTAAGAAAGAGTTGCACTGAGTCTACCTGTTGGTTCTGTCCTGAGGAAGAACAGAAATACGACTAATTTTTCTTAGGAACGTGGATGTAACCGCCGCTTCTGCTCCGTGACTCGCCAGCCAGGGCCTGAATATTGTCACCTGTGGCAGTGCTACTCGCCTTTTCCACCACAGGGAACGTGAAGAACAAGCAAACCCATAGAGAAGTGTGCAGCTTTTGACGCCCACGACTGATGAGCTGTCACAAAAGGGAGCGCACTAGTGCCGCCGGTCCTGAGAGCAACACACAGAACGTCAGCAGCGGGGCGGGCTTCCTCCTGCTCCTTGCCGGCAGCGTCTCCCCAGCGTAACTAGTGTTAGATTAATTTTGCCTGTTTTTGGACTTTATAACATAGAATCATAATATGTTGAATTTTGAGCATATGGACCTTTTGGGGGGGGGGGATATAGAATTCATAGTTCTCTGAACCTGAAAAAGAATCCAGAAAGACTGTTGCATGTTCTTAGAGGACAACTACAGCCACACTAGAGATGGTGAGAGGCGGAGGAAGTGACAGACTCAAGGACAAGAGAGTGAGAGTTGTTCAGGAGCAAAACAGACTCTCAGAATTGAGGACACAACCAAGGAGTTCGGCCATGTGGGAGAAACTGTTTATATTGATCATTCTTTTTTGAAAATAATGCCTTTAAGGATAGGTAAACATTTGTAAACCATAGTGTAAGAAAGTTAACATAAACTGACCAAAATTTAAAAATAAAATTAAAAAGAGAACTATGGCATGAGATAGAATCTCTTTAGAATAATGCAGGAGCAGAAATAAGCATGTAGCATTTCACTTGTCATTCATTCCAGCATTTACGAATACCTTTAGCAGTTAGACATTTTGATAGTTACTACCTAAAATATACAGTTCCTGTCCTCAAGAAACTTACAGTATAACAGAAGTAAAGAGGAGATTAGTCTTCAGTATGATAGATTAGGGAGCACATAAGGAGAACATTCTATATCAGTGTGATAGGTCCCGTGACAGAGGGAGAGGCACGGAGGGTGGACGGTTAATCCAGAACGAGGGGAGCTTGTCCCCATGTCCTGGGTGAAATCTGAATGCACTGCCTTGAGAACCAGGGTCGGCTCTCACCTAGTGTCCAGCCATGTCCAGCGTCCTCCCTGCCTTCTCCCTGACCCCTTCTCCTCATGGCCTGGGCGCAGGCCCTTCTCAGGCTGAGCCTCTGGGTGCGATCCGCCCGCCCCTTCCACCCTGAGGGACACGAGGCCTCTTACCCTGTAATATACCTGTAAGTTACGGCGTAGGTTCATGGCGCCTTGATTTAGCACTGTGAAGACTTACATCCTTTACTGGGCTATAAATTTGTAGTGACCTCTGGTCCCTTAACTTTGCATAATCCTTTATAATTATTTACTTTCTCATTTTACCCTGTGACTTACCCATGTGCAGATGTATCTGATCTCTGTGCAGTGAACTCCTTCAAGGCGCAGCTGTAATTGACCTTCCTCACATGCCTCATAATATCTAGGACACTAATAAGTATCCACAAATTTATTGAATTAGTGATTTTTCATTGATACCTTAGCAGAAATGTCACAGAGACTAAGCTTTTTTTTTTTCAGCCAGGGATTTCTAAGCTTTGTCAGCTGTTGGAAGTATCTTGATGTAGAGAAGAAAATTTGGGTAATTATATGTCTTATTATATAATTATGTATAATTATGTATAAGTCACAGCATCTTACATCTAAAAAGAATACACATGTTTTGTCTGAAATCATGTATAGGATAAGTTCCATTTTATTTGTAGAATGTCACCGTATTCTAATTTCTATCTAAATGAGCCTCTTATCATGAAACTAAGATCCTTGTCTTTGAATTCATTGGTATTGTGGGAGCAACATGAGTATCAGTGCTGAATATGAAAGTATTTTTTTTATTGTGATTTTTGTGGGATTTAGAGCCCCTCACACCCATCAGCATAGTGGTCTAAGACATTGCTGTGAGTTTTGGCATTATTAGAGTGTAGAAATTTGAAATGGAGGTGAGTACTGTTTTTAGGTCAGTTTTCTCAGTGTAATTGATGAATATAAAACCTAAATGTGCAGTCCTGCAGAAGACTTTGTATATGAACATTGTTCTGGGTTAGCTCAGATGTGTAGGAGTTGCTTTTCTGTTTAACATAAGAGAGGAGCCCCCAGCAGAATCTCCCGGGACTCACGCCAGAGGGCGCCCAGCTAAACGCGCAGTGACGGTGGCGGGGACAGGGCAGCGGCTTCGGTCTTCTCTCTCATTGCTCTCCGTTCATTTTCTCGTCGTTATGATCACACACTTTCTACTTTTATATATTCCTGCAACTTCCTCATTAGTGAATCAATACCACTTTTCAGAGTGATCAAGTGGGAAGAGAGGATGCCTCTTGTAACTCTAACTCTAAAATTAATCGTGTCCTCTCAACTAATTTCAAAATATAATTTAAATAACTGAATAATGTGGGAGGCTAGCTGTTAAAAATTAGCTTTGAAAGACTTTATCAACATAATTAAAACAGGTGTCTGGCAGGGAGAATCTGATATACCCTTGAAGAAATCAATGATTGTCCCTCAGTCTACGTAGGAGTGACAGTTTTGCTCTCTGGCCATTTCATTGAAGGCGGCTCTGGT